ACTAACCCTGTATTTCATTTAATGGGCTTTATCATTTAGAACATTTTCAATTAAAAAGATTGTGTCTATCACAAACGGTTTTTAATTTATAATCATTTGAAAATTTTAAAAAATAAAATCCCATAGGGTTCTATAGTAAAACCCTCTTTTCTTTTTGCCCCTCAAAGTACCCCTTTATAAACCCCATTGCACAAACAAAACCCTGATTGCACCACTAGACATGTTAGTCTAACATATTGTGAAACCATAAGTTAATCTGACTAGCGGTTTTGGAGAACGGGTGCGGACAAGTTCAAATTTAAAAGCGGCGGAAGAAGAAGAAGAAGAAGAAGAATAATAATAATAATAATAAGAACTGAGCAAAAACAATAAGTCTTCCCAAACTTCGTTTGGGAGACTTAATAAAACACATGTGCAGTGCAGCTACAAGTATCATGAATGCCTTTGAAGAGCTTTTATTTATTAACTTCCACCAGGAACATTCAAAGGAAAAAGTTTTTAAATCCACAATTTATCAATACAGCAAATTATCATTTCAGTTTGATGGTGTTTCAGCCTAATTTTCAATCAATTTTGATGTGATTTAAAAAAATCTGAAGGGCTGACTACCGGCTGAGTTCCACTCAAAATCATTATCACAACAAAAGAGTAGCTCTCATGTCAGTCACAAGTCAACACATAACATGACTCATTTTCATTGCAGACTGTCTATTAAAATGCAACTGTTACATCAATGTCTTATCTTAATCTTATTTAATACATCAAATCCCAGTAAAGTAGCAACCAATGAAATTCTGCCTTCAAATTGTTGAAGGTGTGTTTCATTAGGTCAAAATCATTAAATCCTGAAAAAGTCTTGAAATCAAAAGTTAAATCTGAGAACTGTCAGTTTCTTGTTGAAAAAGTGTGGACACAAGTCTGTATTTCAAATTAGATTGAAACTATAAATAACTGTGGATCACCCCTGTAACAGTATGTCTTAGACTATCTCCATTACATAATTGTCAGAACATGCACAGACTGCCTATACAACATTGACCTTCTCTTATGCCAATGCCAACATTCATATTACCACTAAACCATAAACATGGATTGTCATCCTTTCATTACAACCACAAAAAAAAAAACCCAGATCCTGAATATAAGAGGCCATTAAATAGTTTTCTTGGTAGTTCTCTTAAATCCATACTTTTAAAAAATTTTGTCCTGCATTTTTTTTTAGTTGTAATCTCTGTCCTGCCTTTTTATTTTTCAATTCGGTCCTGCCTTTTTTTTTTTTTAAGTTTATCCTGACTTTATTTTACCTAAATTGTCATCCTGACTTTTTTTTTGCCAGTGTCTCATCCTGCCTTTTTTTTTACTCAAAACTCCTGTCCTGCCTATTTGTTTCAAATTTCATCCTAGCCCCCCATAAAAATCAAATGGTAGCTCCCTTATACACTGAGAATCCTCACCTTATTCCTAAGTATAGTAAAGAATTATTCTAGAATGTTCTATTATGTTTAAAAACAATGACAATCTAACATCACTCGACTTACACAGGGAAATAAAGGCGGTCTCAATGACATCCCTTACAGCAATAAACAGCTTTCAATTTTAACATTCATGTCAAATCATGGGATCTGCCAAACAATAATTATTTGTTACATTACTGTCACATGTGAATGGTCTCCCTTGCACCAATATTAACACAAATGATCTCCCTCTCACAATATAGACAAGTACCACTTCCAGTCACCCTAAAGACATGGGAACTGTGTTTGATGCCATTCTATCAACTCATATGATTTCTATTAAATCAATGTCACAACAAATGGACTGTCTTTCTAATATTACTATCACAACACATGAACTGTGTACCTTACATCACTGACTGTCACAACACATGTACTGTGTACCTTACATCACTGACTGTCACAACACATGTACTGTGTACCTTACATCACTGACTGTGACAACACATGTACTGTGTACCTTACATCACTGACTGTGACAACACATGTACTGTGTACCTTACATCACTGACTGTCACAACACATGTACTGTGTACCTTACATCACTGACTGTGACAACACATGTACTGTGTACCTTACATCACTGACTGTGACAACACATGTACTGTGTACCTTACATCACTGACTGTCACAACACATGTACTGTGTACCTTACATCACTGACTGTGACAACACATGTACTGTGTACCTTACATCACTGACTGTCACAACACATGTACTGTGTACCTTACATCACTGACTGTCACAACACAAGTGCTGTGTACCTTACATCACTGACTGTCACAACACATGTACTGTGTACCTTACATCACTGACTGTCACAACACATGTACTGTGTACCTTACATCACTGACTGTCACAACACATGTACTGTGTACCTTACATCACTGACTGTCACAACACAAGTGCTGTGTACCTTACATCACTGACTGTCACAACACATGTACTGTGTACCTTACATCACTGACTGTCACAACACATGTACTGTGTACCTAACATCACTGACTGTCACAACACATGTGCTGTGTACCTTACATCACTGACTGTCACAACACATGTACTGTGTACCTTACATCACTGACTGTCACAACAAATGTTCTGTGTACCTTGCATCACTGACTGTCACAACACATGTACTGTACCTCACATCACTGACCTTCACAACACATGTACTGTGTACCTTACATAACTGACTGTCACAACAAATGTACTGTGTACCTTACATCACTGACTGTCACAACACATGAACTGTTTTAACTGAAGGTTATGAGAAAAAAAACCTTCATGTAACCTCCCACACAAAAACAAAAGGTGAATGGTTTGTTTCTTAGAAAACCATATAAAAGGTTCTGTCAATCTTGTGATAAAGAAACACCTTTACCTGTATTTGTTTTACTTACAGGGTAAATATATGATAGTTAATGGATGTTTGAACATAACTCATTGAGCTTTACAAAATTTATTCAGTGTGAATTTGTTTAATGTCCAGTGGCAAACATTTCATGCATATTTAGGGAAACCCTTACATGAGGTGTATATTTTTAGTCCCCTACCGACGAAGTTTGAATTTTTTTGTACAAAGGGAGATAACTCATTTTTTAAAAGATATTCTTTGGTACATTGTTTGAGGAATTTTGTGGCAGGTTTATATGTTATTTTGTGTAAACTAATTTTCTGAATGCTGCACACATATATATATATTTTTTTTTTTGTTAAGTGAAATCCTTTAATTAGATAATAATCTATATTTATTAAGGTATATATTTCATTACATTACATTGTGTAGATAAAAGTTGTTGACATTTTATAGATAATTTTATATACAAATCTATATTAGTTTGTGACAAATGAAAGAAAAAAATATTTGGAACTATTAATTATATTTGATTGTAATTTGAAAATAGATATACATTGTATTACTAGCCAGTCAACACTAAGGTTGTGAGTTCGAACCCCGCTCGTGCGGGTGCACTAGACTCCAATCTTAATTGACTAGGATTGTCAGTTTTCCTATTGAAGGTCGGTGGTTTTCTCCGGGCACTCCGGCTTCCTCCATCAATAAAAACTGGCCGCCACGAAATAGCCCAAAAGCGGTGCTTTAAAGTGGCATTAAAACACCAAAAATCAAAAAAATCAAATACATTGTATTACATCATATCTAATTTTAGAGAACTATTAATCATATCTAATGTTAGAGTGTTATAGGTTTTCCACACTTTTTTTCATCATGCTTGAAGATATTGATTGACAATTGGTATATAGTTTTATCATGACAAGTTACAGATCAAGTTCAAATTTTTGTTTCGGTCTGATACTTTTGTGCAGATTTATGGTCCTTGGACCTGAAAAAAATCACTCATATATTCAGTTTTCCACACTGTTTTTAGTCATGCTTGAAGATATTGACTTGATATTTTCTTTTTGTTTACACCATGACAAGTTATAGAACAAGTTAGCATTTTGTTCCAGTATAATAATGAATTTTTACCCGATAGGGGACTATGTATTGCCATGCAATACTTTCAGAATGCTTGTCTTTTTTATTCTGTCATTCCATCTGTCAGTGAGACCTAATGTAGAAAACTTTCAACAAAATTTTCTTGGTTTTTATGAAAGGGATTAATTTTATATTTGTTCATAGCTTGATAATGTTAAGTTGAAGCATGTAAGGCAGCAACCATTTGATTTTCGGGGGGGGGGGGATATGGATTTTTTTCTGAGACAAACTTTTTTTTACATTGAGCCAAAATAACTTGTAATTTTTTCCACAGCCAATCAAAAACAAATAATTTTTTTCACCATCTATTGAAAACAAACTTTTTTTTTTTTGTCATCTCACTACTGCATAGCATCTTTCACATAGACAGCATGGCTCTTGGTGTAGGTTGGGGGACGGATTGGTTTCTGTTGCTGTTTAGGGACCATCTTCAGCTTACCCTTTGGTATGAAGGTGCCATGGCTGTTGATGTAAGAACCATGGATACCCTTTGGTGATATTTTATCCTCATTGGATTGTTGTCTCTTTGACTTAATATTCACCATTTTTTTTTATTTCATCGGTCATGTATAATTTTGCCTTTGTGTTGCTGAATACTGAATAGTTTTAGTTAAACTTCAAACTAACTACATGCATGCAACTTCATATTGAGTATGGTCGAACTCCTAGGTAGATGACTATTGGGTTGCTGATATTATAAAAGTTTCATGAAAACTGCTCAAAGCATTTTTGAGTTATTGTCCGAAAACTGGAAAATCCCCCTTTTTCAATGAGTAACATGAAACATAAAATCTAAAATTTATAAAAATCGAAAGGGAGCTCATGTCAATAGATATAAACAATTCACCAAAGTTTCATGCAAATATGTTAAATCGTTTTTGAGTTATTGTCCGACATGTTGATAACGGACAGACAGACGAACGGACGGACAGACAGAGGTGTACCATAATACATCCCGTAAACGGACGTATAAAAATATATCCTTGCAGAATTGTGCAAATAATTGTAAAACTATGAACTTGAATTAAATCATTGCAGAATTTGAAAATAATTGTTAAACTGTGCACTTAAATGAAATCATTGCATAATCATGCCAAAAAAATCGCAAAACTGTGCACTTGAATTTAAATCATTAAACTTCTATTTATCATGAAAAAGGAATAATACAGCATTTTGCTAATTGTGTATGAATAAAACTTGCAAAAATGTGCATGCCTGATTAGTCTAATATAATATCTTTTTGGGCATGCCCAGTTCTGCAATTATTTGTACTCATTTATACCTGCCCATACGGTAAGCCAAGTTACAATGTAACATTAGCAAAAGAAAATCATTTCTTTTCTTTCGTTTTTAATTACAGAAGTTACTTTATTGTTAGATATCAACCATCAGTATCATCAGATTCGTCAATATCTAGAAAATTAAATCTGTTAGACAGTTCACAAGCAGCTTTGATATTTGTTTTCACTTTCCTTACAGTACTCTTATCAGTGGTCTCACTTGAACATTCATCATCATCATCGCTGTCAATTTTTTTGTCAACATTCGTAGCAGACTTCTTTTTCTTTCTATTTCTGGACCTTTTACTTGTTGATGTGACAGTTTTTAGACAATCTTCATCTACTCTAGACAAAATAAATGATAGTAGATTTTGAAATAACGAAAGAGCAGGCGACTGCTTTACTAACATTTCTGATATAAAAAGATCTGGATTTGTTCTTGTTTGCAAATCCTTACAAAAATTGTACAGAAAACTGCCACAGAAGATCGATGAAGGATTTACAGGTGGAAAAGGAAAACCCAATATTTGATTCAAATGTGTAGTTGACAAAATGCAAGACTGGAACTGTGCAAACCCATGAATGATACTAATATCAATAGGATGCTTCATAGAATGTTGAGGTGCATGAAAATACTTTTCTAAATTTTTCTTCACTTTTTCCCTCTGTTGTGGAGTTGATTTGGTAAATGCTGAATTTATTGTGGAACCATTTTGATCAATTTCTTCAGCAAATGTTCTTGATGCCAAGGAAAACCAACAGACAAGAAGTGTTTTTATAGAATGTAGATTTGTTTTAGGGTCTGCATTTCTTATCCAAAATATGAATGCCATTATAAACAAAATTATGTCATCACTAATAATTTCCTCATTACTTTGATCAAAGTTTAGATCAAAAACCTTGCACAAGAGTTCTCGCTTTCTGCTACATTTTATATCCTCCATTTCACCTAACCCTGGGAGGTCACCATATCCTTCCATCAAAGGGATAATTTCAATTATATTTTTCTTTACATTTTTCTGTCCATCTTGTCTATCATACTCCTCAACGCAATATTTTTTTGTAATTTCTGTACATGCAAAATTTTTCAAATCATCCCTCAATAATATACTATACAAAATTTGACGTAAGAATGTAGAACAATTGTACGATGAAGGCATTTTCAAATCCTCGACTTGACATGGTAAGATGTTCCTATGAAGAACCAATGTATTCTGCATGAAAGGTGGCATTTTCCCTTGCCTGTGAAATTCTATGAACCAAGATGGAATTGTGTTTCTATTATAACTTAATGTTTTATAATTCTTCGATGACTCTTCTTTATTGGTGAAGAAATCCTTCAGACTGAATGAACTGTAAGTGGCAATGTTAGAATAAGTATCCATTGATTTTTTAATCAATTCTTTCACACTATCTCGTTTCTCTGGTTTAACTGACAATATAAGCCTGTTAACCCCACTTTCAATGCTTTTCAAACTTTCCAGCCAGTTCATTATCTTCATCATTTTGGTATGTGTTCTTGTAACAGTAATGCCTAAAGGAGCATGTTTTGGAATTTTCAAAGCTGAATAAAATTCTTCAAATGTGTGAATATTTACATAATCATTTCCAAGCACTGTTGCCATTAGAGGTAAAACTTCCTTATCAAGTTCTGGAAAACATGAAATAAAGTTTTGTGTGAAATACATTTTGACGGGAAGATATTTGAATTGTTTGCCTTCAACGTCTGTCACAGTTGGCTGGACTTCAAAGTTGACACTATCAAATGGAATAAATCCATTGGTAAGATGAAGAATATAAAAGTCGCTGTCAAAGGAAATAACTGGACATTTGAACTCATTGGCTAATACTGCTATCTGGTTGTCTGCTTCAAAGTCACATGTCACATGAGGAATACCAAGATCCTCTAATGCAGTCATAAACACTTCATACGACAGGATAGGTAGAATTTTCCCCCGTTCAGAGTTTATTATTGCTCCTGATAAGAGTATCCTTTTACCTGCTCTTTCTAATGTTGTTTTAAGTTTTCGATCATCTGGCTCATACCCACCATCAAGAATAATGTACGGTTCTATATTACATGATTTTAAAATGTCAAAAAATTCTTTTATTTTTCGTGAGAATTTATCGTAATCCCCTCCATGTGTGTAACCTACATTGTAACTATAGAAGAGAAGATGGTAGAGATTGTTACCATCGATTACAACTTTAGAATGATGAAGCTGATAGTCTTCTAGAAGCTGTAAGTTGTCATCTATCAATGTTGTCAGACCTGGGATGCCCATGGTAGTTGCTACTATATCATCTGAAATAAAAAATGGAAAGATTTAAACAAGATTTTTTATTAACATGTCTGTACTTTAAACATGGAACTATTTGAATCAGGATTAATTTTGAATTCTTGAAAATTTTTAAGAAATATACATGGCAAAACCTCAATAAGTGGGTTAATTTTCATCATACATTTTCCAAAATTCAAAATTCAAAATTATTCCAGATTCCAGATTCATATAATTCCTTGTTCTTAATACATTTGAAATAGATTTTAAAATAAATGGGGAATGTGTCCATGGGACACAGATGATGCCCCCGCTTGCATATAATGTTATAAAGGGACATAACTCAAGAACTGTAAAAGTGGCGCTACCCAAATTTGTACTCGATCTGTATTTTGTAGTAATTAGCATTGAGAACGGAAACGAAAAATTCAGCAATTTTTCCATTTGTAAAGGGGCATAACTCAAGAACGGTAAAAGTGACGCCACCAAAATTAGAACTTGATCTGTGTTTTGTGGTACATGTAATTAGCATTGTGCATAAGTTTCATAACATTTGGTTGAGGCAAACTAAAGTTAGAGAACGGAAACCAATTTTGGGACGTACGGACATACAGACGGACAAGGCTACAGCGGGGACATAAAAAGAGTGATATTTTTTTCCAAGGAATCGTGCCTTAAAGGATGTGATATATGTGGAATCATTGTGTATTCCTGTATGTAATTGACATTTTAATGATTGATTATGATCAAATATCGATTGGTTGAAGCAATTCAACTAGATAATCAAATTTCAAATTTCAAAATTGAAATTAATAATTAGATATGAATAAATGATTAGAAAGGCTTGGAACCCTCTTTTAATGGTTGCAGTACAAATGTAGAATCGCTCAATCTATGCCCTATATCTTCAATCAAGTTGATTACAACAGATCATGAGTTGCATTTTTTTACAGACTGAACAACGCTACTTTAAACCTGATATTGCTTGTTAAGTGGTTTCTTCTAATTGCAATGTTCTGTGACATGATTAAGATACATAAAAAGCTATCCATTTTGTGTATTAAAAATAAAAACTTTTTGAGATTTTGAGATTCATTCTATTCCCATCCCTAAAGAATTGGTGAAATAAACTCCAGAGTTGTATTTAATACATGTACTGTCCACTCATTTACACTGTTTAAAACACCAATTGTTGAGCAAATATATCTATTGTCCCTCAATTATCCAGATTAGTCAATACAAAATAATTATTACCTGAGGGAACAACTAAAAGATTTAACTTTGCAAGCCCCTCGCTCTAAATTTCATAGTATATATCTTTTCATAGACTAACCTAGACTTAGTTTATTTTACACCTGTAAAATATTGCACATTAAAAAAACCAGGATAGTTTTTAATTTTACACAAAATGCATGTAACATTTACATATCTGCAAGGCCTTACAACCTTTTTAGTTGCACAGGTTTCTATATACAGTTAATTCAACAAATTTCCTCAGCCATCATTTTTGCAGACTATTTTAATTACCAGATTACATGAATGTGCAGATCTTTCTGTAAAGGAAAAAGAAAAAAACTTCTTTGCAAGGACCGCAGGAAACACTTCATGAATATGTATCTGACACAAAAGATTTTGAGCAAAATATGTATGAAATTACAATATGTTGTTAGGAAGTTTCCATGGGAGATAATCAATTTTTCATTCGAAAAGTTCTCTATATTCAAAAGAATAATGTTTTAGGTTATCTCCCATGGAAACTAATTAACAACGTATTTAAATTTCATATATATTTTACTGAATATAAGATGTTTTAATTCAAATGATGTCTGATTCTTATGAAGATAGAAGACTTGTCGAAAGAAAAGTTGCATGAAAGCTTAGTTTGGACATTTTTATCTCAATTAAAAATTATTATCTATCACCTTTAGCATGATAATAACATTAAAAAATCTCTACAAACTGTTAAGACTGATTTTTCATAATATCATTGAACATGTTGTAGTGGAATTAAAGTCTAATAGGATTGTAAGTATGCTTTATTTTAACACCTTGCATTTTCACGACTTGTCTGTGGTTTTCTACAGCAGTTTGTTCAAATTTCTGACCAGTTGAACAGTTTGGTTTTATAAAACAAATTGCAATTTGGACAGAACTTTGAATAAATTGCGATAGGTGGAGAGCAACACTAACAGTCAAGTCACAGTAAAGAGAAAATATATTTGAATTTCATTTATCTAGAGCATGCTATGCCTTAAAATTTATCCAGATACTCAGGTTTGTCTGTACTCAGAGTAAATTTTGAGGTGAAAATGCAGCCATTTTAGTCAAAGGGTCCACATGAACCTTAACATCCAGTGGCAAATATTTCATGCATGTTCAGGACGAATGATTATTGAAATTTTTATGTTATTAACATATGGACATATGGGAAAATTATCTATGTACATTCTGGTATAATTGTGTATTGATATTTCATTAGTGAGTAGCATAAATATTGTAAAATGTTATTTTGCCACGGATTCTGAACTGGTATTATTGGACGTCCCTCCCCCTTTTTGTTTATAAAACACTACCGTAGAAACGTGTCATCAATTCCTTATTTCATATATTGACTAGCAGTTTACCATGTGATCCCAGGAGTAGTAGAATATAGAATTAAATAGGTGTTCCAGGCAGCTATTGTATATCTCGGTTGGAAATCTGAGCAGGTGCTTGCTCACGTTCGGCATGGGTGCATTATCTCCCTTGAGCTTGCAAGGGTTTTCTCCCTTATTTTGTCGTCTGAAAAAATCTATCTTGTTGTCAGAGGAAGGTATAACACATGAACATTATCAATCGTTTCCAAATGTATAGTTATTGGAATATTTACAATGAACACCCAGTAATGAAAATATATATACAATCAGCAAGGACGCATATAACACTTCACACTTGCAGAGTCTGGTCCTTGCAAAAATTGCCAAAATAATCAAAAACAAAAAATAATGTACACCACCGTTTTACTTTAGGGAGCTACCATTTGATTTTTATGGGGGGGGGGGGGGCTAGGATGAAAAATATTGTCCTGCATTTTTTTTAGCTGTAATCTCTGTCCTGCCTTTTTATTTTTCACTCTATTCAGTCCTGCCCTTTTTTTTTTTTAGTTTATCCTGACTTTTTTAATTAAATTGTCGTCCTGACTTTTTTTTGCAAGTGTCTCATCTAGTCCAAATAATTATGACGTCTTGAAAGGCTATTATATTTTTTTTCTTTGACGCCTTACATCGATGTAAGGCGTCAAAGAAAAAAAATTCGATGTAAGGCGTCAAAGAAAAAAAATATAATAGCCTTTCAAGACGTCATAATTATTTGGACTAGTGTCTCATCCTGCCTTTTTTTTTTACTCAAAACTCCTGTCCTGCCTATTTTTTTCAAATTTCATCCTAGCTTCCCCATAAAAATCAAATTGTAGCTCCCTTAGCCTGCGGTCCTGGCACAACTTGTAACTTGTCAGGAAAGATCGGTCCGGGATGCCAGGCTACGTTCTACCTGTAACCTGTATAGATGTTAATTTGTTGGTCAAATCAGTTCGTGTAATCGGTCTTCCTATGGAACCCTAGTTTCACTTTTACAGCTGACATTCTTTTGAATAACTGAGTTAGTCCAGAGACATATATACTCTCGTGCACACACGTGATGTTGACAGCTCTATGATAGCCTTAACGATAAGTTGCCAATCTCTGTATATATATATGTCTCTGGTTAGTCCAAATAATTCTGACGTCTTACAACAAAAGTTAAGTTAGCCTATCAAGACATCATAATCATTTTTTAGTAATTGGGAATTTTCTCCAGGGGAAAAAGCCGAATTTCGGATGTAATTTGAGGCAAACAATATCACTGTTAGTGTATGTTCACTGGTGTTAATATGTCCTTTGATTGAGTTAAGCTATTTCAGTTGATATTTTATAGTGTTTCTTTCTATGTTGTGATGTTACACTATTGTTTCAGAAAAAGGGTGAAGGTTTGGTACCATTAAAAATACCGCTGCATTTGTTTGCACCTGTCCTAAGTCAGGAATCTGATGTTCAGTAGTTGTCGTTTGTTAATGTGGTTCATAAGTGTTTCTTGTATCTCGTTTTTAGCTCACCGGGGTCCGAAGGGTCGCATGTGAGCTTATGCCATCACTTGGCGTCCGTCGTCTGTCGTCGTTGCCTGTCGTCGTAAACTATTTCAAAAATCTTCTCCTCTGAAACTACTGGGCCAAATACCTTCAAACTTTAACTAAATGTTCCTTAGGGTATCTAGTTTATAAATTGTATCCGAAGTTTTGATCCATCAACAAACATGGCCGCCATGGCTAAAAATAGAACATAATGGTTAAATGCAGTTTTTGGCTTATATCTCAAAAACTAAAGCTTTAAAAGCAAATCTGACATGGGGTAAAATTGTTCAATTGGTCAAGATCTATCAGCTGTAAAATTTTCAGACGAATCGAACAACCCATTGTTGGGTTGCTGCCACCGAATTGGTAGTTTTAACAAAATTTTGCAGTTTTTTGTTATTATTTTGAATATTATTATAGATATATATAAACTGTAAGCAGCAATAATGTTCAGCAAAGTAAGATCTACAAAAAACAAAAAAGTTAATATTACCATAATTGTCAATTGACCCCTTAAGGAGTTATTGCCCTTTAAAGACAATTTTACACAATTTGTTCATCATGTTTGGTAACATTTAAAATCTTCTCCTCTGAAACTACTGGGCCAATTACCTTCAAACTTTTAACTTAATGTTCCTTAGGGTATCTTGTTTATAAAGTTATATCCGAAGTTTGTATCCATCGACAAACATGGCCGCCATGGCGAAAAATAGAACATAAGGGTCAAATGCAGTTTTTGGCTTATATCTCAAAAACTAAATCTTTTAGAGCAAATGTGACATGGGGTAAAATTGTTTAATTGGTCAAGATCTATCGGCCCTGAAATCACAGACGAATCAAACAACCCATTGTTGGGTTGCTGCCACCGAATTGGTAGTTTTAACAAAATTTTGCAGTTTTTTGTTATTATTTTGAATATTATTATAGATATATATAAAATGTAAGCAGTAATAATGTTCAGCAAAGTAAGATCTACAAAAAAGTTAAAATGACAAAAATTGTCAATTGACCCCTTAAAGGGAAAGTCTGCGATTTTTTACTTATCATCTAAATATGTTCATCTTAACATAAAAAACACATTCACAAAGTTTTAAATTTATATTCTTTCTAATAACCATATAACGGAGAAAATCAAGTATTTGTAACTTTTTTGGTTGACCTACGTCACTGGGTTGTGACGTTTTAACCCGATTTGTTGAATCATGGGAAAAAATAAAATATGTTAAAGTCTTAATTGCTTATCAGAATTTTACGTAATTAAAAGTGCACAGATGACCGTTGGTCGTAGTTTATAACCACAATATAAGAATGAAAGAAAATGAATATGTGTGTACCGTTTTGTATTGATTGAATAAAACTTCCTATATGAAGTTATCTAAATATAAATATTTTCGAATTAATTTCATAAATTATTGAGATTTTTTCATAAAATATCTATAGAACATTTTTACTGATATTGAACTGAAAATATTTTAAGTTTTATTTACCGTTATAACTTTGATAACCATTTCAATGCAAAATATTTGTGAACAGAGTGTGTATATTATTTTGTTTATTTCTCGATTTGAGGAGAATTCGTTTGAACTTTACCTTGCAGCAATTTAGCCTCAGGCGTACACAGGTGTGAATTCAAGCGTACACAGGTGTGAATATAGTCATGTTGAATGGATTAACAGACAGAGTATAGCGTGTTTAATATACCCAGATGAAATACCCGATAACAATAGAGAAACAATAATTTTAAAAATTGCATAAATTAATTGAAAATTAACATTCAACTTTTTAATTCCGGAAGTGTTACAATATTAAAATGGAACAATTTTCGGTTACGTTCTATGCAATTAGCATAAAGTTAAGATATGAAGTTAAAAGAATAGTACTTTTAATCTTAAAAATTAAATGTTACATTTCCCAATTAATAATCATTGCACATCTGTTTAATTTACTTTCCCGGAATTCTTCAACTTGTATTTAAATCTGGCGATGTTTAAATGCTAACAATCGTAAAACTATCGCAATTTTAAAGTTTTTAATTGAAAAAATACAACAGTACAACATGCATAATTTTTTTTAATTTTCTTATTAACATTTCATTCTTACATAATTAAATTCATTTGACAATCACTTAGACAAATTATTTGTGAAAAGAATACGAATTATTGTTTATTTCATTGGTGAGACTTTAATAAACTATTGAATCTGAATCTACATTATAAATCTAAGCTAATACATTAATTTGTTTGAGGATTTTTTCAGGATAGCCGTCATTAATCCAAATTAGTAATACAGTTGTTGTAATTGAAGGCATATCTTAGTAATGTATTACTGATATTGACAATTTTAGAACAGTTCGTCCCAACCTCGTTGTTCTTGAAACAATCTTTACTAGTATACTTGTAAGTTTCCTGACGTATAAGCGCCATTGAGGATGAGCTCCAGAGATAGCAGACTAGTAGCGTATTTGTTTGTTGGGGCAGGAGAGGCCATGCAACCACTTGTACAGATAAACAAGCTTATGTTGTCAACACTATCAGAAAGAGTTCCCATCGTCGGATGGGGTATATGAAGGTTCCAAGAATGAACTATTGACATGTCTGACTCTGAACAGTTAGTAAACGGACTTAACAATGATCTATAGACATCGACCGCTTGTTCTTGATATTTGAAACTGCATGCATATATACGTTTATGAGAGTGATTATTTATCTTGTGTCTGACGAAAACTAAATGCCTGCATGGTTATATCTTGCCATATGTTTGTATTGGTTTGGTGGGTGTTCACTCAAAATCATTATTCAAAAATTGTGTTTGTGAGATGTAGATTCACTTCAATACCGAATTTCGTTTATATACTTCACAAGTGTATACCACGGAGAAGATCTGAAGGTATATTACTCCCATTTTGTTTTGGTGTGAACCATCGATGTTTACAGCAATATTTAATGAATAAGATGATGATGGTAGAAAGAACTATGATCGTCATTTGGCAAATATTACATGCATGTCGGACCATGAGTTGTCAATCTGTATGAAAAGATTTCCAATACAACCATATTGAGTAGGAATTTTTACATGCTATACTCTCGAACTAGTATTACAGGGTTCTTGTGTCGTTTAACTCAGACACACATCTTTTACTTTAAGATGTATGAAAGGTTCTAAATATATATATATATCTTAAATGTAACAATAATCAAACGCCTATAGGCAATCACTAAAATGGTATGAAGTTTTTATACAGATTTATTCTTATTTACACAATCATTAACAAACTAAATAAATTTAACAAAGTAACACCGTGACACTACGATATAACAAATGGGATACTAATTATTTTTAACCATGCTATGCAGAAACTTAACACATCAAGCAGGAACATATTTATTAATATACTGTTCCCAGCATCAAGTTAGTGCATGTGAATACCAATTATATAGGAACACGATGTGTGATTTTGTATAACTAAAAATATCAAAGCGAGCAATAACTTTGTCAAGCAAACATTTTTTTTCTCTATGCCTCTCTTTATCTCCGCTCCTTTACAATAACTATTTCGCTTTTCGTCGATCATTCTCTATATAGTTCTCTATTCGGTTATTTTATTTTCACTATGCCACTCTATCTCCGCTCCTTTTTCCCCTGTCGTCCTAATCCTTATAAAGATAGGGACATTAGACATAGAAGGGGCTCTCTTATCTTCAATGAATTAATATTGATAGTGACTATAAGTGCTTGTATTTGCTTGAAGAATTTTTTTTCAAAAATACGGTCCAGAATCATGACAAAACAATATTCATTTCACAAAAATGTTCAAAGGTCATGCTTATAATTTTTTTAAACTTATTATCAGCAAAAATAGTGGATAATATTATTATCAGAACATCATTCATTAAAAGGTGGAATTATAATTTCAAACACACACAAGATAAACAATGTTAGACACAAATATATGGTTCAATAAATGTTACCTGTGCACACCGGGTACCTCAATAAAGAGGCCATGCATGAACCTGTATTATATAATTGTGTAATACGAATTTTTAGTTGACAGGATGTCACTGGAATACCCAGGGACGTGTATCTAATATACGTCCTTGGAATACCTAACTGAATGTGTCGCTCTGACACGACATCTATCAATAATTCTGACATACCTATTATCAATTCGGGAGGAAGCCAAAATATATATATATTAAGATAACGTAAGTAAAATTTAATAAGAAAAAAAAACTATAAATTTTTCACCGAACATACCAAATAGAGTCACACATTTAACTGTAAAGCTAAGTGTCTTTATAAGTGACCGTTCCGAATGGATCCCGTATCAATTTGATATAATTTAAAGATTAGTTAAAAAAAAAAACCACTTTTAATAAAAAAAATTGAGATGTCCGATATTTCGATATTTACATATCTATAACCTGGGAATATTATACTATATCAACATATTATGTCCCAGCTAAAACCTCTTCCTAACATTGCTCCTTGTCAATAGCCGTTAAATATCATAATTAAAAAAATGTTATTTTATATTGTATAACTTTATTAATTGAAAAATTATCTTGTCTAAATACGGAACTATTCTTTATACAAATCAGAGACATATAATACATATTATATGTCTCTGTACAAATCAATGCACTTTATATAAAAGAGGCATACTAATGAATCTTCTGTAAATCAGTGATTGTCACAAGAACACTGCATTTGTCTTTCTTATAATTGAAACTGTTCTTCCTCATCAAATCTATATTTTTTTTATTCAACGAGATCTTATCATATAAGGATTTGATAACTATAGCTATCAGAACTGCTAGGTTATTTTGTTATTAAAAAAGGATAATTACCAGCGAATCTCCCTCGAAACAATATTGTTCAAAATGGTCTTCACACACCAACTTGTGCTTGCTATAGATGCAACTATTTGCTGTTAGTTTAAGGTTGTACAACCATGTCTGATACAATCCTTTCTTTTTTGTGGGATTGGGAAAACTATGTCGACTTTTGTCATAACCTTGTCTGACATAACAACCGTACGCTTGACAAGACATTTTGACACTGAATAACCGTCTACGGTAATCCCCAATTGATGATGGGAGTTTTTAACGCACGGTCGGTAAATCCCCAATTCTTTTTGTTCTTTGTGGATTATAGATATCACGTGACTTTTTAGATCGAACATGCCGACAAGATGGCGATATGTCGAGCACTGATAGTGAATTTCAAAAATCGATTTTGATCTCTTTACATAGAGAATAAAAGTTTTTTATTTATGAACATGTGGTTTTTTATGCTTAAAGAACAAAATATCAATTTTTCATTTTTTTGCGGAGTTTCCCTTTAAGGAGTTATTGCCCTTTAAAGACAATTTTACACAATTTGTTCATCAAGTTTGCTTACATTTAAAAATCTTCTCCTCTGAAATACAGGTGATCGATTCAGGCTCTTGAGAGCCTCTTGTTTATATAGATTAGACCGTTGGTTTTCCTGTTTGAATGGTTTTACACTAGTAACTTTTGGGGCCCTTTATAGCTTGCTGTTTGGTGTGAGTCAAGGCTCTTTGTTGAAGACCGTACTTTGACCTATAATGGTTCACTTTTATAAATTTTGACTTGGATGGAGAGTTGTCTCATTGGCACTCATACCACATCTTCTTATATCTATATATTATACGAGCCCCTGTGGGAAGTATCTCAGCCTGTCAACACTGAGGTTGTTATATCGTACCCTGCATGTGGCAGCTGCATTGGACTACTATCTTTATTGAATAGGATTACCATTTTTCTTACTGAAAGTCGGTGTAACCTTCTATCTCGGTACTCATCTTCCTTCACCAATAAAAGCTGGTCAGCATTTTGGCACAATATAGCCAAGAGTGCTGAAAATGGTGTTAAACACCATCAATCAATCATGATTGAACATTTTGAGCACATGCGCATTTACCTTCAACTGAGGTGAAATAATTGGTTTCATGCATATATGGATTTAATGTAGGTTTAATTAATCTCTTGCAAGTTAATAATATATCAGTGAAGTTTTGGTGTTGATATTTACAAAACTGAACCAAAATGACAGCTAATAAAGAAATAACTTTCAATATTTGGTTCCTGTAAATGTTGGATACAAAAAGATACCTTAATTGGTAATCTTATTAATCAACGTTAAACAAAATAACAGGATGACCATGGCCAGATAATATTAGATATGGTCATTACGGTATTCTATTCTAAGGTAACTTAAGATTAATTAGTTAAATGTCATTGAATGTGGTGATGTGACATGATCAGACAATTCATTTTAAAATCTGTGACTTGCATTCAGTGACAGCCCAATTTATTATATTGACATTTTGAATCTGCTGAAAAATGTCTTTATTTATTTTCAACCTAAACTGCTAAATTTAACACCCACAAAAATAACCTACTAATATATGACCAGGGAGTTTTTGTAAGATTTTGTCAAGATAATGCACCAGATTTTACTATGGGATCAAAGACTGTGGACCCTTCAAGAGCACCTGAGTCCACCCCCCCCCCCCCCCCCCCCCAATTTTTGGCAGGATTCTTTTTTGTTCAATTTTAATTTTCTGTGTAGTGTTTGGTAGACTGCAGTTTGTCTGTTTGTCATTATTTTCTCTTTTACCAAGGTGTATTTTTGATTGTTCCTTTAATTTGGTAATTTGGTATATTTATGTTTTTTTTATTCCTACCTGTCATAAATCAGTATTTTCACCTCTTGACCTTTTAGCCTCATGTTAATGTGATCCTATGTTACTTGAATGCGAATCTAACTGAATTGATTTTGTATAGACAGTGTTAAGAATGTGATGCTATGGTTTCTAGAAACAAGATAAAATTTGTATATGCCAAAAAAAATTGTGGGGGTGGACACTGCATAAATATCTATCTACTTACAATAGCAAAATCCCTTTCCAAGACTCTCCAATGATTTGAAATACTCTATTTTTCAGTGTCAGACTGAGAATTTTGTGACATTTGTGGAATTTTAACAAGCCAAAACAAATATAGATGACATTACCACACAAGTGCAAACTGTTTGACATTTGGAAGGTTTGTATCTCCTTTAAGTTTTACATGTATACATATGAAATATTTGCCACAGGACTTTAAGCAACCAACTATTAATCAATCTTTTATACATAATTTACTTTTTGAAGTACAGCCTACTGCAATTAACTGGAAAAAATCCAACTCTAAAACTTAGTAGATTTCCATCTTATCAAATAGATTTTAACAGCTATGTTAAGAACTATTCCATAATGGCCTTATTGACTTGTGCTTCAAGTGTACATTGATATTTTAGTCCTAGATACATGATTTTTTTCATATGTTATTGACTTTGAACTAGTTTTCCATTACTACAAGTACTCTCTGAGCTATACTTTGTGTCTTTGTTATTTTTTTTGTGATTTGTATAAATCTGATCAATTAAGCCCTTTTCAACTGAGTGTTACAGTTTGTTCTTATGTTGTGCTGTTACACCACTGTCCCAGGTTTGGCACCAGCAATCATGTTTTAACCCGGCCATATTCTATATGTGTCAGTCCCAAGTCAGGAGCCTGTAATTCAGTGCATTGTTTTGTGCATAAATCAGGCTAATAGTTTTCTCATTTGAATAGTACATTTGTCATTTCGAGGGCTTTAATAGCTTGCTATGCTGTATGGGTTTGCTCATTGTTGAAGGCAGTACGGTGACCTACAGTTGTTAACTTCTCAGTCATTAGGTCTCTGTTGGAGAGCTGTCTTATTGGCAATCATACAAAATCTTATTTTTATATCAACCATATTAGGAAACGGTATTAATTTCCCAGTTTGTGCATTACCTTAATAATGTCTTAGTTACTATGAATAAGTATGTACTGATTATCAGGTTGTCTGCATATTGATATTGTACAATACCAACTGTGAGTCTCAATATAAAGTTTTTTTTTCGAGTGAGCGCAGCGAACGAGTTAAAAAAGGCTTCATATTGTGTCGAGCAGCTGATATTTTACAATATCAATATGCAGCCAACCTGATAATCAGTACATACTGTAGGCCAGGTCAACATATTTGACATCACAAAGCTGTGATGTGCAATTTTATGAATTAATTTCAACATACAGTCCAGAAAAGAATAATGAGAAACTGTTTGATTATTTCAGTAAAATCAGAAACATTGAATGTTTGAATGATTTTTTTCTTAAATTGTTTAGAATTAATTATCTGTAATATTTTCTTTTTTTCTTTTTTTTTCTTGTTCATATTGTAATTGTTTAATCTGTAAGTGTTAAATGAATTTTACATTCATCTACTATCAAGAAAAACAGAAGACTTTGGAAAATACAAATTTTGCTTGGCTTTATCACTTCTTCATTCTGACATTATCAAGATGCTTGATTGACAACATATTTGTTACGTTTGGAGGACGTGTTTTTCAACAAACTATCGGCATTCTCATGGGAACCAACTGTGCCCCTCTTCTTGCCAACTTGTTCCTTTATTCTTATGAGGCTGACTTCATACAGGAACTTCTTAGGAAAAAAGAAAAGAAGTTAGCAGTATCCTTTAACTTTACTTTCTGCTATATAGATGATGTTCTCTCACTAAATAATTCAAAATTTGGTGACTATGTTGAACGCATCTATCCCATCAAACTAGAGATAAAGGATACAACAGATACAGTTAAGTCTGCCTCATATCTTGACTTACATCTATAAATTGACAATGAGGGTCGGTTGAAAACAAAACTTTACGACAAAAGAGATAATTTCAGCTTCCCAATTGCGAACTTTCCATTTCTGTGTAGCAACATTCCAGCAGCGCCTGCATACGGAGTATATATCTCCCAATTGATACGATATACCCTGGCTTATATTTCCTATCATGAACTTGGATAGAGGGTTGCTGCTCACAAGGGAGCTATTAAATCAAGAGTTCCAAATGGTGAAGTTGAAATCATCCCTTCGTAAATTTTACGGACGTCATCACGAGTTGGTTGACCGTTATGGAATATCAGTTCAACAGATGATAGTGGATATGTTCCTAATGTCGTAACTACAATCCTTTCCCTTTTCACGAATTTGACCTACCGAATTAGACTATTTTCCTGGTTTGTACTAACATGAGCAACACAACCGGTGCCACATGTGGAGCAGGATCTGCTTACCCTTCCTGAGCACCTGAGATCACCCCCAGTTTTTGGTGGGGTTTGTGTTGCTTAGTCTTTAGTTTTCTATGTTGTGTTTTGTGTACTATTGTTTGTTTGTCTTTTTCTTTTTTAGCCATGGCGTTGTCAGTTTATTTTCGATTTATGAGTTTGAATGTCCCTCTGGTATCGTTCGCCCCTCTTTTCTTCAACGTGGTTTTTTACTAAAATCTTTTTATCAGAATTTTATTTCAAATCCTTTCTGCCTTGTTTATACAAAGAAAACACAAAAAGTTATCACTGATCAGAAAATGAAACTGAGTCAAAGCAAAAAAAGTTGGAAGAAATATACCCAAATAATAACATATACATTTGGGACAATGAAAAATTTAAAGGGAGATAATTGTAATTCAGAGCCTAAAGAAAATGCACACAAATTATTTTGAGATAATATAAAATCTGCTTTTAAAAAGAATTCAAACATCTTTTAACATATTTCAAAAATTCAAAAATAGAAAATTACAGTTTTTCTCACCTGTTGCCAATACTCATTGACTAATGAATAACAACATATATATTTGTGGGACAATGAAAAATTGAAATATAAAGGGGGACAATTGTGGTTTAGAGCCTAAACTGATCTATATATATATACTAGAGAAACAAAATGCACACAAATAATTTGGGAACATTTAAATGAGATATAACATACATAAACCTATAACAGCAACAGAACAACACGTGTACCAAAATAGTTTATAAGCTTTGGTTATAATGTTGAAATGATTGATTTATTACAGATTGTAAAGCCATGAAATGTCTTTTTTTGAAACAATTGGTATAAAAACTGTACTTGTAATTGGAACAGTACTACGACTATGTTTGATTCTCTATGGAGACTGGCAGGACAGGACACAGATAGTTAAATACACAGATGTAGATTATTATGTCTTTACAGATGCTGCTGAGTTTATGACAAAGGTAATATAAAATCTGCTTTTAAAAGGAATTCAAACATCTTTGAACATATTATAAAAAATTCAAAGATAGTAAATTACAGTGTACTCACCTGTTGCCAATACTCATTGACTAATGTTTTGTGTATTGAATAGGTACCTACTTCATATGAGTGTATGTTTGTTCACATTACACATCAGAATTAATAAGGACCGTTGATCAAAGTCAGGGGTAATACCTTTACTTGTGTAAATAATTTCAGTTTACTAGTAATAATTTTGGACTTAATTATTCAGATTTCTTTACTTATAAATTTTGTAAAAGTAACCAAGTCTTTTTTTCTTGACTAAATTGCTCTAATAGTGTGTTTTATTGTTTATCTTAATAGTTGTCATGGAAAACAGAAGTTTAATTTTTCTATTATTTCGAAAATACTGTCTATTTACAAGCCTCCCAGGAGCAATTTTTTAAGGCTTGCGTAGTTACTTAACATCTGTGCATAATAGAATTCTTTTCTCAGTTCTAGAGATAAAAGGTTAAAATCTATTATAAAAAATAGTAAACCAGAAACAAATGTTTGAGGCATGTTTTGACTTCTTTAAACATGAGAATTTCAGGAGTTGTAATTGTTTTTGGAGAAGCATAAGAGGGGATTATTCAAACCTTAATTAAATCTGACAAATTTACTTATACATAATGTACAAGTAAATATAACTTGCATCTTCAAGTATATAAGAATAACTTGTATAAGTATTAACAAGACTGATATAGAAAATGAGAAAATTACTGTATCCAGCAAGTAACTGTTAAGCTACCCATATATAGTCATTTGCTTTTAATGTACACTTTTTAATGTAAACATGCTACAGTCATATTATTATTGTGGCAAGGGTAGGCTGTTTATTCTATAAGAAATTGTTAGTATTTTTTCATGTTAACATTCCTGATTTTATAATGATTTTCTTTTACCAGAACCAGTCACCTTACTTACGACCTACATACAGATATACACCGCTCTTAGCATGGTTACTTCAGCCAGACATTACCTTTACTCCTTTATTTGGAAAGATCATATTTGTTTTCTGTGATATAATAACAGGATATTTGATATACTTACTATGCATATCACAAAAGGTACAGGAAAAAGTTGCAGTTATCTGTTCTTGTTTATGGCTTCTTAATCCCCTCCCTGCTACAGTTTCCAGCAGAGGAAATGCAGAATCTATCATGGCAGTTCTTGTCTTGTTGTCACTGAAACTAGTACAGGATAACAAAGTTGTCATGGCAGCAGTAATATATGGTACATCTGTTCATGTAAAGATTTATCCAGCTGTATATGCTTTACAAATTTATTTGTACCTAAAACCAGATTCATTTAAATGTGCCAGTGGAAATTCCGTATCAAAGTTAACAGATGATTTATGGCCAAATAGAAGAAAGCGCATATTCGTCTGCGTTGCAGGAGGGACATTTTTAGCATTAACTGGAACATTTTATTACTGGTAAGTTCAATTCATTTTAATTACAGCATGATCACTTGAAATGGGTATGGTTTCTGTATTGACATTCTCAAGTTATTGCTTTATAATTACTGTTATTGATTTTTGTCGAGCCTTCGACTTTAGTCGAAAAAGCGAGACATAGCGATCCTACATTCCGTCGGCGTCGTCGTCGTCGTCGGCGGCGTCCACAAATATTCACTCTGTGGTTAAAGTTTTTGAAATTTTAATAACTTTCTTAAACTACCTTGGATTTCTACCAAACTTGGACAGAAGCTTGTTTATGATCATAAGATAGTATCCAGAAGTAAATTTTGTAAAAATAAAATTCCATTTTTTCCGTATTTTACTTATAAATGGAGTTAGTTTTTCTGCCAGGAAATATTACATTCACTCTGTGGTTAAAGTTTTTAAAATTTTAATAACTTTCTTAAACTATCCTGGGTTTCTACCAAACTTGGACAGAAGCTTGTTTATGATCATAAGATAGTATCCAGAAGGAAATTTTGTAAAATAATAAATCCATTTTTTCCGTATTTTACTTTTAAATGGACTTAGATTTTCTGCCAGGAAACAACACATTCACTCTGTGGTTAAAGTTTTTAAAATTTTAATAACTTTCTTATACTATTTTGGATTTGTACCAAACTTGGACAGAAGCTTGTTTATGATCAAAAGCTTGTATCTAGAAGGAAATTTTGTAAAATAATAAATCCATTTTTTCCGTATTTTACTTTTAAATGGACTTAGATTTCCTGTCAGGAAACAACACATTCACTCTGTGGTTAAAGTTTTTTTAAATTTTAATAACTTTCTTATACTATTTTGGATTTGCACCAAACTTTAACAGAAGCTTGTTTATGATCAAATGCTAGTATCTAGAAGGAAATTTTGTTTTCTTCAAGTTAACATTACATTCAGTCTGCAGATAAAGTTTTTAAACATTTATTAGATTCATAAACTATCCTGGATTTTTACCAAACTTGGACAGAAACTTCTTACAATCAAAAGATAGTATCAAGAGGAATATTTTTATTGATTTACTTCCTCATTTTTGTTGAGCCTGCGATTAACAGAAAAAGTAGGCGAGACACTGGGTTCCGCGGAACCCTTACGAATTTTTAAGAAACTTGCTTTCTTTGCATTAACAATTGAATGTACATTTCTGCTTATCACATGTACACTACTTTGATATAATAAAATAAAATGCTGCGCTGGGCGCAGCTTGATACGATCGCAGAGGTCGAACCCTGAACAGTTGGGGCAAGTATGGACACAACATTCAAGCTTGTTACAGCACTGAATTTGGATTGTGATTAAATATTTGACACAACATAGGTTTCTGACACAGAATGAATGTGGTCTTAGAACTTAAAAAATTTTAATTTACCTATTCAAACCATATCATTATTATTTGCTTTTATATATAAATCAGAAATAACCAATTTAAAATGGAAAATTTTAAAGAAAAAAAAAGGGAAAAAAGGAAAATAAAATCCCTCCCCCCAAATTTTTTGAACCCCCTTATGATTCATCACCTCCAAACTCAATCCAAGCCTTCCCTTTGTGGTATGGTACCTTGCAGTACAATTTCAGAGAGATCCATACACTTGAACACAAGTTATTGTCTGGAAACTAGAAAAATGCTTGTTTTTAGGCCCCTTTTTGGCCCCAAATTCCTAAACATTAAGGGCAATTACCCCCAAACTCAAACCCAGCTTTCCCTTTGTGATATGGAACCTTGTAGTGCAATTTCATAAAGATCCATACACTTACACACAAGTTATTGTCCTGAAACTAGAAAAATGCTTGTTTTTTGCCCCTTTTTTGCCCCTAATTCCTAAAATTTTGAGGCAATTAACCCCAAAATCAATCCAAGCCTTCCCTTTGTGGTATGGTACCTTGCAGTACAATTTCAGAGAGATCCATACATTTGAACACAAGTTATTGTCTGGAAACTAGAAAAATGCTTATTTTGGCCCCTTTTTGGCCCCTTATTCCTAAACGTTTTGGGCAATTACCCCCAAACTCAATTCCACTTTCCCTTTGTGATATGGAACCTTGTAGTACAATTTCATAAAGATCCATACACTTACAAACAAGTTATTGTCATGAAACTAGAAAAATGCTTGTTTTTTGCCCCTTTTTTGGCCCCTAATTCCTTAACTGTTGGTACCATATCCCCCAAAATCCATCCCAACCTTCCTTTTGTAGTATTGAACCTTATGGTAAAATTAATAGAGATCCATTGATTTAAACTAAAGTTAGAGTGCGACCAATGTGTCTTCGGACGACGACAACGAGGGATGACGACGACGACGCCACCAACGTCATACCAATATACGACCACAAAATTTTTTGCGGTCGTATAAAAAGATAATAATATAACTTCTTTACCATGCTAACACAGTAAAATGAGATACACATGTATAGGGTATATGTCAATAATACAGCAACCCAACAACTATTGTAAGTTAATCCTTATCAAAAGTTGTAATGATGAATCTGGATATTTTCTCTCTAAAAAACATACATATACATATATTTTTTAAGAACTAATGGAGGTTTACCAACATCAATGACTCAGCTTCATTAGAATTTTGTTTATACATGTATATGATAACATAATAGTATTCAACATTGGAAATCTTACTTCACTCCTCATTATTTTTATATTACAATGGAAAACATGTAAACATTTCATCACAGTACTTACCAAGGCATGAAATTGTCCTTTAAGTCATATTTTAATGATCAAAAGTTCATCTATTTGAAATATATTGCTTGGATTATACTCACACAGTTTGCATAAAAATTCTAAATCTTATAAATCTAGTCAGAGCACTATTTCTGAAAGAAAAAGGGTATATATGGCCTGTCAATTAAAATATTAGTGACAGAAAATTTAAACCATTTCACATGGTTTTCTAGAGCTTAGAAACATGTAGTAAAAGCTTTACCTTGTAATATGGTATTTTTATGTTTTGTAGGTATGGCTGGGATTTTCTACATGAGACTTACCTTTACCATTTAACAAGAAGGGACATAAGACATAATTTTTCAGTATATTTCTACATGTTATACCTAACAACTGTAACAGAGTATACAACTGTAATAAGCCTTTTGTCATTTATACCACAGCTGATATTGATGGTGACATTTTCTATCAGATACAGGCAGGAGACAACACTATGTTGGTTCCTCAACACATTTGTCTTTGTTACCTTTAACAAAGTTTGCACATCCCAGGTAATAATTAGATTGTGTGTCCTGTGTTTAAATCTAAATAGGTACATGGTATTTTAGCTTAATTGACTAGGATTGTCAGTTTTTCTGCGGAAGGTCGATGGTTCTCTCATGTAATTCTGGCTTCCTCCATGAATAACAACTGACCACCATGAAATAGCATATATTGCTGAAAGTGGTGTTAAACACCAATCAATCAATCATTTTTTGCTGGAGGGAATGTCAGATTTGATTTGCTTTTGATAAAGGAGGACAATAAAACTATGATTTGAACCGATGTTAAATCATGTCATTAATATTTTTATGATGGTTTTAACTTTATACCAATAAAGAACTCTCAACCTTATATGGCTTTGTAAGGAGAGGCATGGCAGATTACATATAACTAACTGGTCACTTAGTACAAAATGTGTTTGGATTTTGTAAAAAAATTATGGATAGTATTTGTGAAACTAGTTCATAAATTGAAAACTGACATACAGGTACAAAGTTAGACTCATCAACAAAGTTATAACCTCAGCAGTTTGCAAATAATAGAAGAAATATTTCTAAACTAAAAAAAGTTGGAAAGAAAAGATATTGTAAACTATTTAGGATTGAGGTCAGATCTTTTTGAATTATTCACAAATTATACATATGTTCTTGGTGATGAAGAGCTTGCCATATTGTTTTTATTTTTGTTAATTGTTGAAGGTCATACCGTGACTCATGACCTTTTAGATGTTTAGTTTGGAGGTACATTTTCAATGTTCTTTGATTTATCTGGAAAAATGATGTATTTCTTGTTTTTTATTTCAGTATTTCTTATGGTACTTGAGTATTTTGCCAGTTGTAATTCCAAAGCTATATATGTCATACTCAAAGGCTATCACTGCAGCTATCTGTTGGATTTCTAGTCAAGTAAGGATTAATAAACCAAATCAATGAATCTGGGGCTGATCCAGCAATACTGTTTACCAATTATTTTTTTGCATGCGACTAATTTACAAGACTGTTGTGAAAGAATTAGAAAGATAATGCAAATATAAATCGTTGTGAATTTGTCGAACGTGGATCTTTTCTTACAATAAGAAATCAAAGTAAAATAAATCGTTGTAAATTTGAATTATACAAAAAGAGTATCCAGAAAAATGAGTTGATTTACAGTATTTTAATTACCGGTAGTTTAAAAAACAAACCCCAAGGTTTCGTATTATAAAGTTTCAATGACATATATGAAATTTACTTTAGGGCTGGCTGGGGTAGGTGTGCTTATCTACAAACCAAGTGCCTGACAAGAGAGGAAAAACTCATTATTTAATAACAATAAAAGGATATATCTTCTTGTGGATATAGCTTTCAATTTTATCTGTTTTGAGAAAATTTATGAAGGATGGGAAATAACCTAGAATTTCCCCTCACTTGAACTTTGCTTGTGACTAATGATTTTTAACCTGATTTTCGAAAGAAAAATCGGTTGTTGATTTTGGGATGTGCGGCAGGCGGGCGGCTGCCAAACAGTGCACATTCATTAACATGAAAACGCTTTGACGAAATCTTTTTCAAATTTAGATATGTTGTATCCTGTGACTAAATGAAGGTCAAGTTCAATTTTCATGATTTTAGCTTTTCTCATTGTTGAGTTGTAGACCTTTCAATAGCCAAAAGGGATACTTATTATATGATTTTGAGTTATTTCCCTTTGAACAGAAATGTAATTAATTAATAAGTATATATTTTTTACTTGATCCTGTTTGGGGGTCCAGATTGCAAATATCATTTTCATTAGATAATAATCTATTTTTATTAAAGGATATATTTCATTACATTACATTGTGTAGATAAAGTTGTTGACATTGATAGATAAGTTGCAGATATTAGTTTGTGACAAATGAAAGATATAAAGTTTGATTACACTAAGTGTTTTTAAGATAACAAACATGTGGTAATTATCAATCACAATTATAATTGGAGTGACAGATTTATTTGAAAATTTTGTGTTTCCTAAGTGTTTTTGATGATAAGCTCTGTAGGACAGTATAAATATAGTTTGAAATTTACTATATATAAGAAGATGTGGTATTAGTGCCAATGAGACAACTCTCCATCCAAGTCACAATTTGTAAAGGTGAACCATTATAGGTCAAAGTACGGCCTTCAACACGGAGCCTTGGCAAGCTATAAAGGGCCCCCAAAGATGACTAGTGTAAAACCATTCAAACTGGAAAACCAACGGTCTAATCTATATAAAAAACGAGAAACACTTATGAACCACATCAACAAACGACACCCACTGAACATTAGGTTCCTGACTTAGGACAGGTGCAAACAAAGGACAGGTGCAAACAAATGCTGCAGGTTTAAACTAGTTTATTGGCGCCAAACCCTCCTCCTTACCCAGGACAGTGGTTTAACGGCACAACATAAGAACAAACTATGCAAAACAATAAAATGAAAAACAAATATGAGAAACAGCAAAACAACACGACAACCACTCAATTGCAGGCTCCTGACTTGGGACAGGCACATATAGAATGTTCATTATTAGACATTTTGATCTTTCTTTTCTTTGCTAAATTGTTTGAAGAATTTTGTGGTAGGTTTGTTTGTTATTCTGTATAAACTAATTTTCTGAATACTATATATATATTTTTTTTTTATGAAGCAAACTCCTTTAAAACTAAGCTTATATTGTCTATTAATAAACATATATTTAGATTTCTGATTTTGGACCCAGTTTTCAAGTTCAAAGGGTCCTAAATTAAACTTTTGTTTGATTTCATCAAAAATTGAATTCTTGGGGTTCTTTGATATGCCGATTCTTACAATGTACTCAGATTTTGGATATTGGACCATAATAGGTAAATGTCCAATTTCAAATTTTTCAGTTCTTTGACCACATTCATTTTGTGTCACAAACCTATTCTGTGTCAAATATTCAATCACAATCCAAATTCAGAGCTGTTTTAAGCTTAAATGTGGTGTCCATACTTGCTCAACTGTTCAGGGTTCGACCTCTGCAGTAAAATCCGGTTTGCTGTCACTCTGACAGCCTCTTGTTACATATATTATATGAATCATGTTAATCTCAGCTTACAACAATAGATACATAAAGCTAAACAATATAGTACCTTAAATGAACTAGAAACTGAATATTACTTATTGATTGATCTAAATAATGAAGCTACAGATCAGAAATATTTTTATATAGTGAAATGATGTAACAGATTCAGATCCAGGATTATGAAAAAGGAGGCCCAGGGCCCCCAAACTAGGCAACCTTTAGAGTTGAGTTAGACATGTAAAAAGTCTATGCATTAACCATATATGTAGCTCCATAAAATGGGGGGGAAGGCCTGCTGCCCCCTATATCCGCCTTTGTATAAGCATGCAGCCTATTTGCATTAAAAGGTAAAAAATTTAAAATTATTATGTTCAATTTCAATTTTGTTTTTTAGGGTTTATGGTTACTGTTTGCATACTACCTAGAGTTCGGAGGTCAACCAACATTCCTGTATATCTGGATAGCTGGTGTTTTGTTCTTCCTAGTCAACATATGGATTATGGCTATCATAATAGAAAGTTACAAACCTAATATATCACATGTAAATAAAATAAAATAAAATATATTTTATCCAATAATTTATGTATGTACTATCAAATATCATTACAAAAAATAGGAACTGGTTTCCTTTATTAGCCTGACTCAACCAACATGACTGTGCCATCATTGTGTTCTTGAAGTACAGCTATATAATTTGTAATGTTGATTGCTCTTATAAACATAAAAATAAGGAGATGTGGTATGATTAACAATAAGACAACTATCCACCAGAGTTCAAATGACATGGATTTAAGCAAATTAAGGTCTTTGTACAGCCTTCATAAACGAGAAAAACCCATATAGTTTAGTCAGCTATAAAAGGCCCAGACATAAAAATGTGAAACAATTCAAACAAGAAAACTATCTGCCTAATTTTTAACAATACAATTTAAGAAAAGCAAATATGACAGACCTAAACCATTGTCGAAGTTTGAATATATACCATAAGATAATGATCTCTTGACATACATTTTATGGATCAGTGGTTTTAATAACATTTGCATCTAAGCTTACCTTGATTTATTTAAATGACAAAACACAGTTTTTAGATAGTAATATCTATGTATTGGATAAAGCATTATGAATGAGTTATTTTATGCAGTGAAGTGACCTACAATCATAAAACTCTGTTTATTCAAGGTCACTTTGACCTTAATTTTATTCTTTTTGTCTTAGCTTAAGTGCCCATCTTTGTAAGAATCAGGCAATTTAGAAAAATTTCAAAACATGGCTGAAAAAACCGACCGACCTAACCTATTTTGAAGTAACCCTCATCCTGAGTTAGAAATGGTAGGTCTTTTGTTAATGTGTGTCTGGTAATTCGAGAAATCTCTAGATAGCTTTTGGTTACAATGATAGCAAATTACGGAGTTACAGGTTAATTGTTAATTTTTAGTGCATTTCAACCAAATTATATCTTGAATTACCAGAACAGGAAAAGGAAACAAATGTTATATTCGTGCACCATTATACAATTTGAAAATAAACAAGAAATGATTGTAACAGGATGCTGTTACGAAGTCTCCCAAACGAAGCTCCCATAATTTGTAATTCCCAGGGTAGCCTGACATTGGGCAAAGTCCAGTGAAAATTGGTTTGGTCCAGTAAAGTTATATGCATTAGTGATGCCTGGGGACTAACCCTGTATATCATTCAAATCATCTTGGCATGACAAACCAGAATATATATGGTTTATGGGTGGGGATCTCGACCATTTACAAGTTACTAGAACATTGGGGGTGGGGGGAACCCCTGGGGCCTAACCCTATACTTCATTCAAATGTTCGAGACATGACGAACAGGAATATATATGGTTTAGGGGTGAGGATCTCGACCATTTACAAGATATTAGAACTTTCTCAAATGGCAGGGGGTCGGGATGACCCCTGGGGACTAACCCTGTATATCATTCAAACCATCTTTGCATGACAAACCAGAATATATATGGTTTAGGGGTGGGGATCTTGACCACTTACAAGATATTAGAACTTTCATAAGCGGCAGGGGGTGGGGTAGACCCCTGGAGACTAACCCTGTATTTCATTTGATTTGCTTTGTAATGACAAACCAGAAAATATAGGGGTTAGGGGTGGGGATCTCAACCATTTACAAGATATTAGAACTTTCTCAAATGGCAGGGGGTCGGGATGACCCCTGGGGACTAACCCTGTATTTCATTCAAACCATCTTAGCATGACAAACCAGAATATATATGGTTTAGGGGTGGTGATCTTGACCACTTACAAGATATAAGAACTTTCTTAGATGGCAGGGGGTGGGGGTGACCCCTGGGGACTAACCCTGTATTTCATTTGATTTGCTTTATAATGACAAACCAGAATATGTATGGTTTAGGGGTGGTGATCTTGACCATTTACAAGATATTAGAACTTTCTCAAATGGCAAAGGGTCAGGATGACCCCTGGGGACTAACCCTGTATATCATTCAAACCATCTTAGCATGACAAACTAGAATATATATGGTTTAGGGGTGGGGATCTCGACCATTTACAAGATATTAGAACTTTCTTAAATGGCAGGAGGTGGGGGTGACCCCTGGGGACTAACCCTGTATTTCATTTAATGTGCTTTAACATTTAGAACATTTTCAATTAAAAAGATTGTGTCTATCACAAACGGTTTTCAATTTATAATCATTTGAAAATTTAAAAAAATAAAATCCCATAGGGTTCTATAATAAAACTCTTTTCTTTTCGCCCCTTAAAGTACCCCTTTATAAACCCTATTGCACAAACAAAACCCTGATTGCACCACTAGACATGTTAGTCTAACATATTGTGAAACCCTAAGTTAATCTGACAAGCGGTTTTGGAGAACGGGTGCGGACAAGTTCAAATTTAAAAGTGGCAGAAGAGGAAGAAGAATAATAATAATAACAAGTAATCCTGTGTTAGGATGCTAACACAAAAGTCGCCAAAACCGCCCCCAACCATTGTTCTGCTGTTTCCATGGTAACGGCAGCAATTTTGAAATTTCAAAGTCGGATATCACATCTACACGTGACAGGTCACATTACTTACAAGTTTCATAAAAAATGGACCAATTTTCAAATTTAGGCATTCGTGTTTCCATGGTTACGGTGGCCATTTCGGAAATTCCAAAGTCAAATACCACATCTACATAAGACAGTCAACATTTGTGTAAAGTTTCATTAAGTTTGAAGCATTTTGAATTTTTTGACATTTTTGCAGTTTCCATGGTAACGTCAGCCATTTTAAAAATTCCAAAGTCGGATGGCACATCTACACATGACAGGTCACATTACTGTCAAGTTTCATAAAGATTGGACCAAATCTAGACTTTTCGCATTTTTGTTGTTTCCATGGCAACGGCGGCCATTTTGGAAATTCCAAAGTCAAATTCCAAATCTACATACACTCGTTAACATCTCTGTCAAATTTCATTAAATTTGAAGCATTTAAAAAAAAAATCACATTTTTGCAGTTTCCATGGTAACGGTGGCCATTTTAAAAATTCCAAAGTCTAATTACAGCTACATATGGTGCTACCTGTAATAATCTATCATTATATAACATAAAAAGTACATAGGAATTATTCAACACTATCACATGACTAATCACATGACTATTGTTCTAGAATGTTCCATGAAAATTGACCCCCTAAAATAATGCCAAGATGACCCTGGGCTGAAATAAAAAATGTGGAATGGACACCTGGACATCGGTCTCTTGTATTACACAAAACTTGAAGGTTCTACCAGTAGCGAATCAATAGTCAAATAAAATGCTCCGCAGGGCGCAGCTTGATACGACCGCAGAGGTCGAACCCTGAACAGTTGGGGCAAGTATGGACACAACATTCAAGCTTGATACAGCTCTGAATTTGGATTGTGATTAAATATTTGACACAGCATAGGTTTCTGACACAGAATGAATGTGGTCTAAGAACTTAAAAATTTTAAATTGGACATTTACCTATTATGGTCCAATATCCAAAATCTAAATACATGGTTAGATTCAGCATATCAAAGAACCCCAAGAATTAAATTTTTGATGAAATCAAACAAAGTTTAATTTTGGACCCTTTTGATCTCAATGTGGACAAAGTTGATAACGGGGCCCAAAAATCAAAAATCTAAATACATGGTTAGATTCAGCATATCAAAGAACCCCATATATTCATTTTTTGTTGAAATCAAACAAAGTTTAATTTTGGACCCCTATTTGGACCAACTTGAAAACTGGGCCCATAATCAAAAATCAAAATACATGTTTAGATTCAGCATATCAAAGAACCCTAAAAAATCAATTTTTGTTAAAATCAAACTAAGTTTAATTTTGGACCCTTTGGACCTTAATGTAGACCAATTTGAAAACGGAACCAAAAATTAAGAATCTGAATACACGGTTAGATTCGGCATATCAAAGAACCCCAATAATTCAATTTTTGATGAAATCAAACAAAGTTAAATTTTGGACCCTTTGGACCTCAATGTGGACCAATTTAAAAACGGGGCCCAAAATCCAAAAACTTAATACATGGTTAGATTCAGCATATTAAAGAACCCCAAGAATTCAAGAATAAAACCCCATTGAAATTGATCAAGAAATAAGCAATTTATACGAAGTATCTTCTTTTGCACAATACTGTGCAATTGAATATTTCTTGCTATTGCGCAATACTGTACAATTGACAATTTCTTGCGATTGCTCAATATTGTGCTATTGGATATTTCTTGCTATTGCGTAATACTGTGCAATTGAAGATTTCTTGCTATTGCGCAATACTGTGCAATTGAAGATTTCTTGCTATTGTGCAATACTGTGCAATTGAAAATTTCTTGCTATTGCACAATACTTATTATATAATAATTTACACATCCTGTTTGGTGTGTATCTCCTACCACATCATTATTATTTGCTTTTAAATATAAATCAGAAATAACCAACTTAAATTGGAAAATTTTAAAAGAAAAAAAAAAGAAAAAAAAAAATCCCCCCCCCCCCAAAATTTTTTGAACCCCATTATAATTCATCACCCCCAAACTCAATCCCAGCTTTCCCTTTGTGGTATGGCACCTTGCAGTACAATTTCAGAGAGATCCATACACTTGAACACAAGTTATTGTCTGGAAACTAGAAAAATGCTTATTTTTGGCCCCTTTTTGGCCCCCAATTCCTAAACGTTTCGGGCAATTACCCCCAAACTCAATTCCAGCTTTCCCTTTGTGATATGGAACCTTGTAGTACAATTTCAGAAATATCCAAACACTTACACACAAGTTATTGTCATGAAACTAGAAAAATGCTTGTTTTTTGCCCCTTTTTTGGCCCCTTATTCCTAAAATTTTGAGGCAATTACCCCCAAAATCAATTACAGCCTTCCCTTTGTGATATGGAACCTTGTGGTACAATGTCAGAGAGATCCATACACTTACACACAAGTTATTGTCTGGAAGTTACAAAAATGCTTATATTTGGCCCCTTTTTGGCCCCTAATTCCTTAACTGTTGGTACCATAACCCCCAAAATCAATCCCAACCTTCCTGT